TTGAGGAACATAAACCAAGCATAAGGAACAGTGAGATAATTTTGGGATTGTCCTTCCTCATGCTTGGGGAAAACACCTGGTGGGCGGGGACGCCGCCCCCCCCCCCCTTGTGTTCATGTAAAACTCTTGTGATTTGATTAAGATTGTCCTTTCTCATGCTAAGGAAAAACGCCTGGTGGGTGAGGACACCCTCCACCCACCTGGCTTTGTGTTCATGTAAAACTCTTGTGATTTGATTGGGGTCATCCTTCCTCATTCCTAAGGAAATGCCTGGTGGGTGGGGGACGCCCCTCACCTCCCTGGCTTTGTGCCCACGTGAAAGTCTTGTGATTTAACATGTGAAAGTTTGGGATAAAAGACTCACGGCTGGTCCCAATAAACGGCTTCTGCTCATTTCACTGAACAGTTGTCCACTTTCTTTCTTTCTCTTTATATCTATCCCTCCATCTTTCTTTCTATATCTATCCCTACTACAGAATCGACTTCTGCACTAGACAGAGTCCAGTCTCTTTCTTTCTCCTTATTTCTCCAGAATATTCGCCGATGCTGCCCCACCTTCTAGGGACCCTCTAAATCTCTTTTGGGGGGCTGGCTCCCCATACTGGGCAACTTGGTGAGATCTCATCTCTACAATAAATCAAAAAATTAGCTGGGCGTGGTGGCTCACGCCTGTAGTTCCAGCTAGTTGGAAGGCTGAGGCAGAAGGATCACCGGAACCCAGCGGGTCGAGGATGCGGTGACCGGGAGCATGCCATTACACTCCAGTCTGGGCGACAGAGTGAGACTCCAACTCAAAAAAAAAAGAAAAGAAAAGAAAAGAAAATTGAAGGTTCACATCCTTCCATCCACATCTCCCTCGCCCCAGCCCCAGGTGGTAGACTATGTTCTGCTTTCTGTTGCTGTGAGTTCCACCTGTTTTTAGACCCCACACGTCAGTGAGATCATATAGCACTTGTCCTTCTGTGCCTTTCGTGTGCCACTCAGCACTGTTTCCTCCAGTTTCATCCCAGCTGTTGCCCGTAGCAGGACTTCCTTGTGCATGTGTCAGGGTCTAACCGTGGCTTCCCCTTACTTTAGGCCAGATGCAGACCTGGGGCTTGGAGGCCTTTGGGAGCCCCCGGAAGCCCTGCAGCCCCTCCTTTGCCAGCCCTGAGAGCCAGGTCCGGGGCATTTGGGAGGAGCTGGGGGTCGGCAGCAGTGGACACCTGAGTGAGCAGGAGCTGGCCGTGGTCTGCCAGAGTGTCGGGCTCCGAGGACTCAAGAAAGAGGTGAGGTCTGTGGTGGGCCACCTGAAAGCTTCTCCTGCTGTGGTTGTGGTTCCATGTGGGATCTGGAAAGCCCCTTCACCTTCAGTTGCTGATTCAAATAGGTCACCTTTTAAAGTCCTTTGATGACTCCTGGTGTTTCTGCTGAAGGCCAACTCTAGACACCTTCAGAAAGTCCATCTCCAACCACCGGATGTAGCTTCACCAGCTCCTTGCTGCCCTCAGGCAGGGTGGGCCCTTCTCATCCCTTCACCACTGTCCTTCCTCTGCCTGGAACAGCCTCTTCCCCTCCTCTGAGGCCTGTCTGCTGCCCAGCTTCTGTGTGGTGTCTAAGGCTGCCTGTATCCCCTGCAGCTGTGTCCTCTCCTCCTGGAGACCCGGGGCGGGAGTGACAGTCACGGTGCTGGGCAGGGCCTGTCTTGTAAGGGCTGGTCTTGTCCCCATCCCTGCTGGTCATGGACTGCAGGCCTGGCCACACTTCATGTGTGCATCTCCTCAGCATCCAGCAAGTTTCTGTCCCGGGTGAGTATCTGTGTTGTTGAAAGTTCAGGTGATGCCCACTCAACAGTGAGATGCAAGCCAACAAGGCCTGTGGGTTTCACATGAACCCGGGGGTCCTTGGGAAGATACAGCCAGGTGAGGCAGAGACTATTGTGAGTCTGGACAAGAACAAGCACACTGCCCTTGTTGGGCACTTGGAACCAGAGGGAGGGAAGTCCTGGAGAGGGCGGTCAGCACTGGCCCTGGTGGTGGGCTAGCCTGAGACTGGCGGCTTTTGTTTAGGAGCTTGAGGACCTGTTTAACAAACTGGATCAAGACGGAGACGGCAGAGTGAGTCTTGAGGAATTTCAACTTGGCCTGTTCAGTCATGAGCCCACTTCACTTCTGGATTCTTCTACTCAGGTCAAACCCAGCAGGCCCTGGTCTCATTACCAGGTAAAACGGTACAGCTAGATCCTGAACCCCAGCAGTGCCTGAACCCCAGCAGTGTCTGGTGACTGAAGCTGCTGACCCTTGCCTGTGTTGCACTCAGCGGGTTGCCTTAGGAGTTGGTGAGGCTATGCCCACGCAGCGTGGGAGGTCATGCGACTTAGGTTCTAGAGCCGCTTGACTCTGGGGTCAAAGGGGTCCAGTGTTGTCCCTCGCCAGTGTGTCCCTGGGGGCGTTGCCTTCCCTGAGCCTCAGGCTCATCTGTAAAATGAGGGAGTTCCTGGCGCCCACCTCCATGGGTTGCAGGATGCATGGGGCCTCCTCATCTGTGGTAATAGCTGTGTTAGCAGGAACATGCCCTTTCCCCTCCTGCAGCAGTGCTGCTTGGAATCTGTTGTGTTCTGCCAGGGCTAGTCCTCAGAGTGTGACTTTGCCTGTGTTCTCCCATCCTGCTTTCTTGAATGTTCTTTCTTATGCAAACGCTGGGTCCCTGTGGTTCCAGGAGAGCAGGGTGTGGTTGCCCTGGGGTAGAGAGGCAGCTTTGCCCTGCCCTGCTCTGTGTTTGATGGGCAGTGCCATAGGACTGGTGCTGTTTTCTTTTCTTTTTTTTTGAGTTGGAATCTCACTCTGTTGCCCAGGCTGGAATGCAGTGGCACGCTCACGGCCACCCCAGCATCAACTTGCTGAGCTCCAGCGATCCTTCTGCCTCAGCCTTCCTGTAGCCAGAGCTACAGGCGCGCACTACCATGCCCAGCTAATTTTTTATTTATTGTAGTGATGAGGTCTCGCCAAGTTGCCCGGGCTAGTCTTGAACCCGTAGGCTCAGGCAGTCCACTTGCCTCGACCTCCCAAAGTGCTGGGATTACAGGCTAAGCCACCAAGCCTGGCCTGGACCAGTGCTGTTTTCTACCAGGGCATGGGTACATCTGGGAGTCTGAATTTCTGACTCAAAAGTCAATGAGAAGGATAAGAGAAACTTGGGGCCGATGCTGAGAAAAGAACTCAGGCTAAATAAAGTCAGAACGACCAACATTACGTACTGCCAGTTGTGCCCAGTGTGGGTGGAGGTCGCTGCTGCCTGAACAGAAGCCCTGATCCCTGCGCATCCACTGGCCCTAGGGAGCCCGAGGTACGTGTGAGCTGCATCCTCTGGCCCTGGGCTGGTACGTGAGGAGAACCGAGGTTCCACAGACCTCCTGCCAGTGGCTGTCTCCCGGAGCAACCTTGCCTCTTGTGGAGAGTCCTGTGGTCTCGAGTGCACTGAAAGCTGCAGCCCCTCCTAGTGCAACTGGACCCTGTCCCTTCCTGTCCCCATGGTGCCACTTCTACCCATCTGACTCTGCAGGCTCTGAGCCATCTTCCCTCACTGCCTCGTGCTGTTGCACACATGCAGCCACACACCACCCTGCACAAACCACTGTAGTTGCACACTCACTGTGTACATGTACTACATACACACATTGTGCATTCACTGCATATGCACACTGCACATACCCAGTGTAAACACACATCACATACATGTGCACACACTGCCCATATCCACTGTGTGTGCACACCCACTGTGTACACACACTACATACACAGACTGTGCATGCACTGCATACACACGACAACACCCAGTGTTTACGAACACTGTATGCCTGTACACACTGTATACACACTGCACTACATATCCACACTGCATGCATCCAGTGTATACATACACTGCATACCTGGACACACATACTGTATATGCACACTGCATAAAAACACTATGCATGCACCCATATATACACACATCACATACCTGTACACACTGCACACATCCACTGTATGTGTATACTCACTGTATATGTACCCATGCATACCTACTTAACTGTATATGTGCACTGCATACATACATATCTGTATACACATTGCACACATCCATTGTATGTGCACCCTCACTGTGTATACACATTACATACGTACACTGCATACACTGTGCACGTACCCATATATATACACACCACATACCTGTACACTCTGCACACATCCACTGCACACCCTGCATATGCACACACACACTCCCTAGTAAGTGCACTCATAGGTGTGCCACCATTTAGTAGTGCACATACATTATGTGGCCCCATTCTTGGTGTACATACACCACATGCACAGACACCACTCATGTACTGTGGACACATTGTGACACACAAAGCCAGGCAGAGAGAGGACAGGCTCGGAGTTCGGTCTGCAGAGCACTAACTCCACCCTCTGACACCTCATTCCACATACTGTCTGTGCAGCCACTTTAGGGCAGAAACTGGGGTACAGGCTGGCCATGAGCCTTGTGGACTGTGGTACTGAGGGTGCTGTGTCCTGTGTGTGTGCATTCTCTGGTTCAGTATGACTGTGTTGGCCTCACGGATGCATGCCTCTGACAGGCTGACCTCAGCCCTGCCCTTCCGACACCAGGTGGAGGGATGGGCATATGGTGTGAGACCAGCATGGCCACTCCTCATTTCAGCCCTCAGGTGTGGGGAGGGAGAGCACAAGAACATTGGGTAGAGCTGGGTATCCGAGCTTCTCCAGAGGCCAAGCCAGCGAACACTCTAGAGCTGTCCTCTCCCTCTGTAGGTGGGTCAGATACATGTTTTGTGGGGTTGTGAAGCACTCCACAGCTTAGCAAGTGCTCAGTGGCTAGATAGAGGGCTGTGTAAGAATGTGGTCAGGAGGGCATGGCTTTGAGCGACTCAATATGCTGGAGGGGCAGGCAGCAGGTTGCCAGCTGCACTGTGAGGAAGCACAGGACACACTGGGAGGGTGTGGCAGACCAGTCCAGAACAGGCCAGGCTCAGAATGTTGGGGAAGAACAGGGAGACCCCAGGCTTTGGTGAGGAGGGGATGCCAGGAGGCCTTAAACACTGTGCAAGCCACAGTGTTACTGGTGTGGTAGGAGCCTGGGGGCTGTGAGCAGAGGTGCAATAGGTATGAGGGGCCACCCTCCTCAGTCCTGGGGTCCCAGGCAGCAAATCCTTTTTGTGAAGGACCCTGCCAAGGCAGAAGTCAGCAGGAAACTTTTCCTACCCGTGGATTCTGGTGTCAGCTGTCTGACTGAAATGCTGGACTGCCCTCACCACGAAGCTCCTGGGTCCGCCTGGAAGCTGACCACTGGTTCTGTCAGTGTACTCTGCTGGGGCCACCCCGCTGCTGATTCTCCAGCCCTTCATGCACTTCTTCTTTTCACAACTAGGACTCTCCTGGCATGGGTGTGGATTTCCTGGGGCTCTGCCTCTGTGTTGCCAGGCATGCACCACCACAAATTCAGGGGTGAAGCATCCAAGCCCCTCCACTGTCCCTGCTAAGTGATGGCAGGCACCTGGCCTCAGAGTCCCAAGAGCACCAGGCTGGGTATCAGGATCTGGCCGTACCTCCCAAGCTCTGTCATGGATTGCAGGGCAACACCACGCCTCTGTTCCCTGTCGAGGAAGGGAGCTAGTGGTTGTCTCAGGATCTGTCCTTATTAGACCCTGATGAGGTGGCACCATGCAAGCACAGACTGGAGGGCAGAGTTCGCTGACAGTGCCCAGATGTCAGCTTTGAGATGCTCAGGTACTGTGTTCGATTCCCTCCCATGTAGGTCCCAGAGGAGACTGGTGGCCACACCACCACCACGACCTCGTCCCTCGTTTCCCTGTGTTCAGGCCTGCGCCTCTTCTCCAGCATTGACGATGGTACTGGCTTCGCTTTCCCTGAGCAGGTCCTGGCCATGTGGGCTCAGGAGGGGATTCCGAACGGCAGCGAGATCCTGCAGGTTTGCAACCCAGTGGCACTCAATGGTGGCAGGGCTCGCAGGGGACTAGGGGTCATCAGCCCACAGAGGAGCATAGATGGAGCTCCCATGCCAGGGACACGATGGGAGTGTGTCTCTGTGCAGAAAAGCCCACATAGGAAAGTCCGGATGGAAGTATTTGTTCCTTTAATTTTTGCTGTTAAATACAGGAAATTTTAATTTAAAAAGATAATTTTTAAAATATGGAGGAAATATCAGTATGAAGAAAATTCATTCGAAGGTAGGCTTTAGTATCATGTGTGCTTCCCCCATGCTGCATGAAGGAGGTAAGAAAAGAACATCCCTTCCTTGTGTTGGGGCCACTGTCACAGCCATTCCTGATGGACTTGTGACCAGAGCGGTTCCTGGGGCCCCTGCCTGCTGTCCAAGCTGCTCTCCCCATGGCACACTCACACCAGACCCTTCCCACCACAGCAAGTGTCAGGAGGCTGTGGCTCTTCATAGGCTCACCTGTCCCACAGAGACACAGGATAGCCCTTGGGACTTAGGGGCACCTCTGTCCTGGGGTGACAAAGTCAGAGGCAAGCAGGGTCTAGCGTGGGTGAGGAAGGACCGCTGGGGAAGTACAGTGAGGCAGAATTACTGTTTCATTTTCAAATGTCTTTCCATTATTAGAAAAAGCTGCATAAAAATCTCTAAAGTAGGGAAGAAAGCCTACCCCCTTGCCACCATTCCCTAGAGGGGTGACAGTCGACAGTGTAGTGTGCATCCTACCAAACTTTTCCCTGGCACATAAAAGATGCATATATTTATACATTCTGGCTAAAAACTTTTTTTTTTTTTTCAAAATTGGCATCATACTGTGTATCTTACTAATTTATGTGACTCCTCACCCCCACCCTCTGTGATTGGATATGTAGATATTTTTTCTTTTTCTTTCCTCTTCTATGGTTATCTCAGTATTTATAATGTGTAATATCCTACTGTTTCTGTGCTGGTATTTCTCTGAAGGGCAATTTCCTAAAGTTACACATTTAACTCTTGATAGGTTCTGTCATACTGCCAACAAAAATGTCCCTATTACACAAACAGGCTCTCAAAGACAGCCTTTGAAGCAGTCTGCCTGACTCCTTGGAATGAGACCCTCGTGGGCCTAAACCCAGCCGTTACAGAATCCCTCAGAACGTCAAAGCCAAACCTGCATGACTGGCCCTCATGGTTGTCCTGAAAGCCAGAGATGGAGCCAGGACCACCAAAAATTGTATGCAGGGAGGGCAAAGAGCAAGGGTGCTCATGGTCTGGGATGCCTTCTGACACCACGCTCCTGCTTCCTGGGCTCTGGGGAGGCCCCGGCTGCCACTGAGGTCTGGTCAGTGATAAGTCTCTGTTTTGCCACTACCATTTCAGAACTTGCTCTTTTTATCGTTCTGTTCTTAGTTGTCATCTCCTGTTCTCAGTTGAGATAAAGCTGCTCTGTAGGGAGACCCTGGGTTGGGTCTCTCTCACTGCTTAACAGGTTGTCACTGTATTGTATCCTGCAACACAGTCAGCACTTCTTGTCTCACATGGTTTCTGTGGGCAGGAATTTGGGAGCAGCTTAGTGAGGTGGTTCTGGGTCAGGCTCCTCCTGAGGTGGCATTCAGACATTGGCCAGAGTTGCTCCCTTCCAAAGACCAGACTTGGGTTGGGAATCTGCTCCCACCATGGCACACTCACCCCAGCAGTCTGGTGCTCATTGGAGATGGGAAGCTGCCGTTCCTTACTGTGTGGTCTCTCCCTGGGGCCGCTTGAGTGTCCTCACAGCATGGCTGCCGGCTTCCTCAGAGTGAGCTATCTGTGTGAGAGCAAGGAGGAGGCCAAACAGCTCATGACCTGGCCCTGCAAGTCACACTTCCTCAGTGTGCTGTTGGTGAACGCTGTGATACTGAAAACACCAGCAGTCAACACAGAGCACTTCTGTGACCTGATGTCGGGGATTTGCCCACACACCAAGCAGTTCTCCAGTGGACACCATTGAGTTTGACTAATTTGCTAGAGCGGCTAACAGAACTCGGGGCAACACTTAGGATTACTGGTTTATTACAAAGGGTACAGATGAAGGGACACGGAAGGCAAGGTGTAGGGAAGAGGTGGAGCTTCCCTGCCTCCCTGGATGCCGTCCTCCCGGAGCCCCCACGTGTTCCCTCAGCCGGAAGCTTCCTGAACTCTGTCCTCGTGGGTTTTTATGCAAGTTTCATTCCTACACGTGATTTGATTAAATCATTGGCATTTGGTAGTTGACTCGACCTCCAGCCCAGAGCTCAGGGGTGGGGCCGAAAGCCCCAATCTTCCAATCCTGCCTGGTCTTTCCGGTGACAGTCCGTCCTGAAGCTACCCAGGGCCCAGCCACCAGTCACCTCACTAACATACGAAAGACACTCTTGTCCCTCTGGAGATTCCAGGGTTTTAGGAGCTGCTGTCAGGAAACACTGCCGAAGACCAAATACATACTTCACGGTGTGCCAGTAACACAGGTGGCCTGGGAGCACTCAGAAGCCAGGAGATTCAGGAGGCTGGGAGTATGGAGCTGCCTCAGAGGCTAGCTCATGCATGCCTGGCGGCTTTTGATGACTCCCATCTTGTTCAGGAAGTTGTTGCTGGGACATGTCGCTTCTCTACACCTATTCAGTGATGTTGCTGGGAAGTGCTGTGTAGTAACAACCTCAGCTTCCCAGATGTTCTGTGTGCCTCCTCTGAAATCCTGCTTCTCTTCAGGAGGTCCTGGGAAGAGCAGCGTGGTCGGTTTCCCCATGTCATAGGATCATCTCAGGCTGACGCATCCTGGCAGCTGCTCTGTTGGGCTCTGTGTGGCACCTGCAGCTGTCTTGTGTGCAGCTCTGTGTCACTCTTAGGAGTAACAGTAGGAAGCAGGAAGCAAGAATGCTCGAGGCCAAAAAACAAATGCAGCAAAGTGTTAGCTACAGGTCACTGGGGCTAAGGGCTTACGTGGTTCTGTTTTTTGGTTATGGTGTGAATTCTTCTTAAGTTCATTTTCTCAAATCCTGAGGACAAAGAATGATCTTCTTGGGAGTGCTTTTAGTGGTGGCTTCCTCCCCTAATAGGCCATTTATCTACCTACAATATCACCCATTGCACATGTATTTCATAGACGTTATTAATCAGGACTCTTTTTGTTTGAAATGGCAAAAATCTACCTCAAAAGCAGGATGTTAGGGGGTGGCTGGGGACCTTCAGGGAGGACTCGTCAGGTGTCACAAGCTCTAAGCCCAAGTGATGTTATTGGGACTCTCCACTGTTCTTCTGTACTCTTCCTGGAGGCCTTGGCTGTGGGCCAGGCCCACCCACAGGGCTACCCAAAACTCACTTGGTCCCTACAGAGCTCTGTAGGGACAAAGGGTCTTGCCCCCTTGGCCTAGACCCTGGACCAGCCTTGGGAGAACAAGGGTGTGTGTGTGTGTGTGTGTGTGTGTGTGTGTGTGTGTGTGTATGTATGTATGTATGTATAGAAGCTCCTCACTCTCTCGTGCCTGCTGGGGCTTGTACTTCCAGAGCCTGGACTTTAGTGTAGATGAGAAGGTGAACCTTCTGGAGTTGACCTGGGCCCTCGACAGCGAGCTCATGGCTGTGGATGGCGCCATCCAGCAGGCAGCCCTGGCCTGCTACCGCCAGGAGCTGAGCTACCACCAGTGAGTGCTGGGGAGATGGGTGAGGGTGGGGGCATCGGGGAGGATGGAGAATGGAAGGGATGAGTTAGCCAGGTAGGCTTTGAGGGGAGTTGGGGACACACAGGACTGGGCTGCCCTTATTCATTGCAGATGGCTGGTCCTGGGGGCAGGGAGGGCTGTGCAATGCTGGGGGGATGCCCATCTTATGCTCTCTGGCCCCTTGAGTCTATACTCACAGAGGGATAAGGACAGGGCTGAGCCATGGGTAATGGGAGGCAAGTTGCACCCACTTGTCCACGTGTCTGGGCCAGGCAGGGCCCAAGAACCCAGTTCAGTGGCTGCCTGCTTGGGTGTTTTCTGCACAAAATTTAAGTGTCACCAACTTATGGTGAGGAGCTTATTGAGGTTTCACAGGGAAGGATGCACACAGACCCTCTTCCTGCTGGTGCTGGTGGTGCGGAGGCAAGCCTCTCCTGTCAGCTAGGACAGGTTTCCAAGGGCAGTCAGAGAGCTCCTGGGCCTGGGCCAGTAGGCAGGAGAAAGAAGTGCTTTTTAAATGTGGTTACAAAGTGCCCAGCGACAGGCCAAGAATACATTCCTGTTACTGAGTTTGTTTTGCTTTGGTGACTATTCCCTTAGCTTTGGGTGACTATTCCCTTAGCAAAGCAGATTCGCATAAGGATTGTTTTGTGTTTTTATTGATGTTCCAAAGCTACAGAAAAGATTGGCAGAAATCACAGGCTTAATCCCAAAGGCCTCTAGCAGTTCTGGGAAAGACTTGTCCAAGTTGCTCCCTTGACCAGAAGAGTTCCTTCCATGGGGGGACTGTCACTGGAATAGCAGCTGCCACAGCTGGAGTACACACAGCCTCAGCCAGGCCTGGGTATCCAGACAGCACTGAGACCACGCATTCCAGTTGCCCTGTGCTTAGGTGACTCACCTTTCACTTGTGGGATGCCAGGCTGCTGGTGGCAGGTCTGTGGCCTGCCAAAAAATGGGTGGCCAGCTTTCTCCTCTCACGCATTCATTCCCAGAGCAACTGCTAGGATTCGTGGGGCCTGCAGTCCAGCTGCAGACCAGAGGGCACACAGATCAATTCTCACGTGTCCAGGGCTGTCTAAGAGGTGGCATGCTGTAGGGCTCAGGCTTAAGCCTCCTGAGTTAGAAACCCAGAGGCTTTTCTTGGCAAGTCCTCTGGCCTCTTCTTCTCAGTGTACAATCTGTCAAGTAGGCATAGTGACACAGAGCTGTTTTAGGAGGGGCTGGTGGTGGCAGTGAAGTAGGAGTGACCCAGCTATATGGTTTTCATCCTTTATGCAGACTTGAGGCTTGTGGGGACCCTGTCTGATCCTGTCTCCTTCTGTGGCAGAGAGCAGACGGAGCAGCTGGCCAGGGAGCGAGACAAGGCCAGGCAGGACCTTGAGAGGACTGAGAAGAGGAACCTGGACTTTGTGAAAGAGATGGACGACTGCCACTCCGCCCTGGAGCAGCTCACAGAGAAGAAAATCCAGTAGGTTCTCGGCCTGGGTGGTAGCCGAGGGCAAATGGTAGGCCCTGGGCCATCCTGGCTGCAGGCAGAGCAGAGACAGAGACCCTCTTGCAGAGTAGAGCTAGAGACCCTGGACATTAGAGAGTGCCCCTCTTTGTGATATTGGCCTTTGCCAGGGTCTCTCTCATGGGAAACAACCCTCCTTTTGCCCAGCATGTGCTGTGATGGGTGAGGCGTGGGACGTCTTGAGGAGGGCTGGTGATGCCCTCCTGTCACCCAGTGTGTGCTGTGATGGGTGAAACATGGGGATGTCTTGAGAGGGGGTTGGCGATGGCCTCCTGTTGGCCCAGAAGGTGGAAGGAGCCTTGAGTGCCAGCGTGGCCCATGCCTCGCAGCTGCAGTACCTTGAATGGACCCCGGCATTGGGATGGTTGTGTGAGGATGATGAGAAAAAGATTTCTGGTCGTTTTTTTTTTTGGCGGCCATAACCCCTACTCAGGTTTCTTAAAGAACATCTGCCGTAACGCCTGTGAGGGTTTCCAAGGACAGGCGGGGGCAGCTTCTCCATCCCCTCTATGAGGGCATCTGTGCCGGGCTCCCTGTCAGGGCCCACCTGCTCTTCACCTTCTGGAAACTTCTGTATACCCAGAAGTGTTCTCAGGGAGCAGCGGAAGGTGCCTTGCAGAAAAACCCTGCACACCCTTCTCTCACCACCACCTTGTTAGTGATACTCAGAGAAGACTCTCCTCTTTAGACGGTTGTAGTCCGAAGCTGCAAGTAGATTGACTTCAGGGGATCCATTTGAGTAACTGAGAAGTGATGTTGCTTGATTCTCTCCCGACCATCAGGAAAGAAGTTTGTGCTGGGTCTTTCTTCGGGGTCAGAGGATTGTAAGCGCTAGGGTGACTCCTCTATCCTCAAGACTGGTGGAGGGACTGGAAGACAGAAGAGCCGTAGCCTGTCTCTGAGCAGGGGGAGTTACCAGCAGGTTTCTGTAGGTAACTATGGTGGCATTAGGTTTTCCTTATTACAAATGCAATGAGTGATACATGTTTATTGTAGACAATTTAAAAATACAAGTAAAAATAAAACTAAAACCAGGAGTCTCACTTCCCAGAAGGTATTACTTATAACATTTTTTTGTATGTTCTTCACTTTTTCTCTACCCATGTAATTACTTACACGATGATATTGTAGATGCCTTTCTGGGGCCACAGCGCCTCCCACTAGTGGGCTTGCATGTAGGTATGCCACATTTTATGTAGCCATTTCCCTTCTGTTGTCTGTTTCAAAGGTGTTTAAAGAGTTGGGTGGTAAGATCAGATGTGTATGTTTAGCACAGCCCCAGAGGTTTGTGGAGTATTCATTCAGTCACATTTCTTGTGCGACTCTTCCTCCGTCTTCCTCCACTTGGGTTTGTTTCTTTGAAATTCTGAGCTGAGTCAGAAGGTTTGGGCTTGGGCTGGTGGGTGAGCTTGGGTCTTGTCCTGTATCAGCTATGGATATGGTCAGGATTCTGCTGAAGTTGGGGTCCTGCCCGTCTTTAGTCTGCACTGACGTAGTTGGAGAAGTCCAGGATCGGGGCTATCCTGGATCCTGTTTTTCTTGCTGGAAATGGTTGTTGCAAAAAAGCAAACACTTCCTCTTCCTGATTGTCCTGGGGAGTCACTATCCATAGGTTTTAGGCCACCTCGTTCCTGGGGCGGGAGGCTCCTTTCTCAGAGGACTGCTGCCTGCAGGCAGGGTGGAAGGCAGATGTGTCCCTGGGACCCACCCAAAGGAGCTGTGCTTGCTCAGCCAAGGGCTCTGGGTCGCAATGCCGGCACTCGCCACGTCTGGGATCACCTGGGATCACCTCTGCCAGCCCATACACCAGCTCTTCCGCCAGGCCCACCTCCCCACTGGGCAGCTCAGCAGAGGCGAGGTGGCCATGTGCCAAGGGCCCTGGGAGAGAGGGGCAGGTGTGATCCTGGGAGGTACCCAGGGAGCCCCACACAACAGATCTGACCTGTGTGATGTGTTACAGGCACCTGGAGCAGGGCTACAGGGGAAGGCTGACCCTGCTGCGCTCCGAAGTGGAGGCTGAGCGAGAGCTGTTTTGGGAGCAGGCCCGTAGGCAGAAGGCTGTGCTGGAGCGGGACGTGGGGCGTCTGCAGACCGAGGAGGCCAGCCTCCGCCAGAAACTAACTCTGGCCTTGAAGGTAGGGACATCCCCAGGACACCCAGGAAGCTGGGTAGGGAGCTCAACGGCCCATCCACTCACACCTGTCTCCTCCTGGTTGAGGACCCACACTTGCCAGTGGCTTTAAGCTTGCGTGTCAGGGCGTGGAAACTAAGGAACACATGCTATGTTGGGAGGCCCTGTGCTCAGCAAAGTAGAGGGTCCTGGCTTCGCGAGCAGCAGTGTTGCCCCTTCCTCCTCTCCCTGCCATCTGCCCTGGGCCAGGTAAACCTAAGGTAGGGAGGTTCAGTGGCCACAGCGCTATATCCCAGAGACCAGGAGCGCTCACAGGGGCAACAAGAAGACCAGGACCTGAAGTCCAGCCTGTGGAGCCTGGGTGTGTCTTGGAGCAGATGCAGTTTTATGGGCTTTGGGAACCTGCACAACCATACCCCACCTTGTCCGGTATTCAAGGGTTGCTTGGTGCAGAGACCTGGTCGTGTGCTGGTCCCTGCTATGCCCCTTTCCAAGCTTGGAGCCTGAGGCATCTCTCCATACCCGCCCTACCTCCCAGGAGGAGCTGAGCACATCCCAGAGCCCTCAGCATCATGCTCCAGCTCATGGTGTTTCTCCACCCTTCACTCTAGTCCCCTGTCTGCAGATATCACCTTTCTCCCTGGGAATCACCCGAGCTGTGTCGGTGCGATTTCAAGTTTCTTATTTAGGAAACAGTTCAGAAGTGCCACCCGTTTTGTAGGACTTTAATACTTTTGTGTTGCCTGTCCTTTCTTGTATGACTCACAACTTTTCTGAGCACCTGGGGGAGGGCCTGAGAGGTGAGACAATAGGGAGCCAGGTGGCCTGGGTAGGACCCGTATCTGTCCTGGGAGGACAGCCGCCTGCACAGCACTCAGCCGCTCACCTGGGAGGGAGTTCTTCCCTGATTTATGGGGGCTGTGGGAACATGCCTCTCACTTAGAGGGAGGCCCTAGACCTGCCCACGTCCCCCTCCCGAGCCTGGTGACCTGCTGGCCTTTGTCTCATAGGAAAACAGTCGCTTGCAGAAGGAGATTCTGGAGGTGGTAGGGAAGCTTTCGGATTCGGAGAAGCTGGTCCTGAAGCTGCAAGGCGACCTGGAGTTTGTGTTGAAGGACAAGGCAAGTCCCTTTGCTGCTGGCGAGTGTCCGGAGAGGAGAACTGCGGGTGCTGGGTGAGCCGTGGCGGTGCCCTGGAAAGGACTATATAGGGGTCTGGCTTGAGTATTTTCCTACTAAAATCTAGAGTGGAGAGAAAACTTGCATGAGGCCTTTCCTCGGCTGTGTTCCCCTCAGTGACGGCACAGGGTTACCCCCTACCCCCCACGTGTGTGGCTGCTGGTGACAGGCCCGGACCAGTGCCCCCTGCACAGGCCCTGGCTGGAGGCATGGGGTGGCAGGGCTCTGCCACTCGGAGGCCCCCACCTGGCCCTCCGTTGCCTCAGGAGGAAGAGGTGGAAAAGAGGGGTTGCCTGGAAGCAGGGTCTGAGTTCTGGTCATGAGTGTAACCCCCTTTGGTTAATCCAGAACATCCTTCTGCCCTGAGACCGTCACTCAGGGGAGCAAGGAGGAAGAACAGCAGTTGTGCCTAGAGACGCAGAGCCCGGTGGGGGGAAACTGGTCAGACCTCTGCAGGCTGGGGGTTGGAGTGGGCCCACTCTGCCATGACCTCATTGCTACTCCTGTGTATCTGACTTCCAGCTGGAGCCGCAGAGTGAGGAGTTCCTGGTTCAGGAGGAGCAGTTCGCAGCAGTCCTGCGGGAGTACGAACTCAAGTGCCGGGTATGTGCTTTGCTGTCCTGCTTTGTAGTCTGTGTCCAGACTCGGTCTCCAAGGGGCACAGGCACGTCCTCCCCAGGCAGAGTCTCTGCTCTTGGCCATGCTTGGCCACGGCCTAGTCATACTCCCTATACCGTGGGCCCCTGGCCCTGCTTAGCACCTGTCCTGGACATCATCTCTGTGTTTCCAGGCTCCACTCAGGCTTTGCTTTGTTGTGTCATCTGTGGTTAATGCTCCGCTTTAGGTTTGCAATGAGTATCCGTCCCATTTGGTTGGAGACAGGAGAGCACACAGTAGGGCAGACCCCTGCACAGTCTTAAAATTATCAAGGAATCCAAAGAGTTTTTGCTGATATGGGTTATGTGGGTTCTGTTTAATATTTACCATGGGAAAAATTAAGATGGAAATTTTAAAAAATGAATTTATTTAAGAATAATGAAGTATCAGCCTGTAATCCCAGCACTTTGGGAAGCCAAGGCGAGTGGATTGCCTGAGCCCACAGGTTTGAGACCAGCCCAGGCATCTTGGCGAAACTTCGTCTCTACAACAAATAAAAAATTAGCCAGGCATGGTAGCGTGTGCCTATAGTTCTGGCTACTTGGAAGGCTGAAGTGGAAGGATTCCTGGAACCTTGCAAGTCAACTCTGGAGTGGCCATGAGCATGCTACAGCACTCTAGCCTGGGTGACGGAGTGAGACTCCAACTCAAAAAAAAAAAAAAGCATAATAAATTAACATAATAGCAGGTTAACATAAACCGTCACTTTTGTGAAACTATTTTCTAAAAGAAAGAAGAATTAGAGAAGTGTGTCATTGTTTTACATGTTTGTTCATCTCTTTAATGACCGGTCTGATGGAAACAGCTGGGTTCTCACATGGGCTTCTGTGTCAGTCTTGTGTGGTGTGACATGGCACAGAGCCCCCAGAAGCTCTGCTGTGCCCGCATGAGAGGATGAGCCTGTAGAAGGCACCCCCGCTTGGGCCGTGGCCAGTCTGAGAAGCCTGGCTGCCCACCCACAAGGCTGTGCAGCTCTGCAGACCTTCCTATCCCTCCAAGTTGGCTTCTGATTCTGCAGGATGCAGATGCTGCATTTAGAGCCTGGGACTGGACGCTTACCCTCCTTGGCATGTGTTAAATGCACACTGCTGAGTTCCAGGCCTTTCTGACATTTCTCTCCTGCCTTTCCCTATTCACATGAACACTCTGAAACCGGAACATCCTCAAGGTCAGGCGTTTACCTAGAGCTGCAAGAGCAGTTCTTCCCATAAAGCCCAGTTTCAGTACCTTGGAGGCTGCCTCAAGGTGAGCCAGTGGCCCCCCAGGCCACCCCCTTCCCTGTCATGCCCTTCTTGAAGATATTTCAGTACAGAAACAAAACAAAACAAAAAAATCCCAGAGTTGGACTCATTTTTTTTTTTTTTTTTGGAGTTAGAGTCTCACTCCGTCACTCAGGCTGGAGTACAGTGCCTCGCTCACGGCCACCCCAGCATTGATCTGCTGGGCTCAGGCGATCCTTCCGCCTACAGGAACTACAGGCACATGCTATCATGCCCAGCTAATTTTTTGATTTTATTGTAGAGATGAGATCTCATCAAGTTGCCCAGACTCTTCTCGAATCTGTGGGCTCAGGCAATCCCCTCACCTCAGCCTTCCAAAGTGCTGGGATTATAGGCTTGAGCCACTATGCCCAGCCTGGAATGATTATTAACAATAAAGAGCCATTCTTTTGTTTTAAAAGTAATTCACCACTATAGTTATTTGATCATCAACTCCTAGGTTATATTTAATTTCCCATCAGTTAATTTTTGCAAAACTTATATAGAAATATATATATATATATTTTTTTGAGTTGGAGTGTCACTCTGTCGCTCAGACTGGAGTGCAGTGGCCGCTCCCGGCCACTGCAGCCTCGACCTGCTGGGCTCCAGCGATCCTTCTGCCTCAGCCTTCCGAGTAGCCGGAATTACAGCCATGCGCTACCATGCCCGGCTGACTTTTTGATTTATTGTAGAGATGAGGTCTCACCAAGTTGCCCAGGCAGGTCTCGAACCCGCGGGCTCAGGCAATCCACTCCCCTCAGCCTCCCAAGGCACGGGTTACAGGCTGAGCCACCGAGCCCGGCTTAGAAATATTTTTATTATAAAGATAGGTGTGTGGCGTAGTTAAAATTAGACACTGTCCAAAACCTCAGCCCTTGAACCTCCTGCCCCTCACATTTTTGACATAGAGAAGGTTATGTTCAAACCAGTTGTACAGGAGAAACCAGAAATAACCAAGTACTTACCATCAGGGACTAGCAAGGAATATTGCAACTATTATTCTAATAGAATCCTGTGTTTCGAAAGTAGACTGGATAAAGAGAAAAAGAAGTTCGAAAGTAGACTGGATAAAGAAAATGTGACACATACACAATGGAATACTGTACAACCATAAGGAAGGACAAAATCATAGACTTCTCAGCAAATTGGATGGAATTAGAGATAATCATTCTTAGCGATCTATCATAGAAACAAAGAACCAAATGCCACATGTTCTCAGTTATAAGTGGGACCTGAACATTAATCACAATAGCACAAGGGAAGGATCGGCAGCTGTGGGACACTGCCAGGGAAGGGAGGAAGGTTGGGGCAAGTGGCAACATAAAGGGTACCTGATCCTAAAACAGGGAAAGTGAAGACCAGTCGGAGGCCCAAACCTCACTTACACAAAGATTACCTATGTACCTAATCCTGACTTGTACTCACATCTTTAAAATAAAGTAAGGTATTAAAAAAAAGTCCTGTGTAGCTTTGAGAATAACATGGCGGTGAATGATTCTAGACATGGAATCCTCTCTAGTTAGCATTGCCAGGTGAACAAACACAGGTAACATACCCCATTCTCTTAAAACCCTGAGTAGTCACTATAGGCAAAATGAGAAAAAAATATACAAGGGAGGACCCTCCCCACAAAAAAACTCAGAATTATCTTTTGGAGAGTGGGTCTCTTACAGTACACTCAGAATTTGTTTCTCCAGATCAAACAGTTAACCAGAGTTTTATCTGGAAGTTTTGAGAAGGTTGTGTCATGATTTGTGGAAGAAACATCCCGAGTTGTGGCCAACTGCCCACACGGCACTGAGGGTTCAGCAGTTTTTGGCCAAAAATGACATACCCCATTCCTCACCCTCCCTGTTCACCCGAGCTCATCCCAAGCGACTTTTTGTTTCCCTGGATGAAAAAAGTCCTCAAAGAGAAGTGTCTTGCGGTTGTGGAAGAGGTGAAACCAAACACAGCAGAAGCACTGAAAGGCATAAAAATGGATGAGTTCAAAAACTTTTTTGAGTAGTGGAAAAAGTGTCTTGATAGGTGTATTGCATTACACAAAGAGTACTTTAAAGCTGAAGGAAGTTTAAACATGTAAGAATAGATACACAATTTTTTGTAAACAAATTCCAGAGTTTTTTGGGTCCCCCTCATAAGAGTGTCAGTAGAGTTTGCTATTCACTCCTTTATATCTCCTGCATGTTAGCTTTATTTTTTAAATTTTTAAAATTTTTTATTTTTGAGTTGGAGTCTCACTCTGTCGCCCAGACTGGAGTGCAGTGGCCGCTCCCGGCCACCGCAGCCCTCGACCTGCTGGGCTCCGAGCGATCCTTCCGCCTCAGCC